TGAATCCCTAATTGTCTTTTGTTGTTAGGCTTAATCTATAACAAAACGTGCAATCCTTGAATATCTGAAATTGTCTAAGTGGAAATAGCTTTCTTATCATTCAATGAGCATCTTGTATTTCATAAAAATTGGGGGCAATATAATCCTTACGTAAGGGCCATCCTATCCAACTTTCAGGCATTAAGATACGTTTCAAGCGTGGATGATTATCGTAAGAGATTCCCAACATATCATATGATTCTCGTTCTTGAAAATCCACGCTTTTCCAAACCCAGAAAACAGACGGAATTCTAGGATTCCTCCTGGAGGCAAATACTTTTATGCATAGCTCTTCTGGTTGATCCACATCATCCTCTATTCTCGTAAGATGATACACACTAGCTAACAGCCCGCCAGGCGCTACATCATAGGCACATTGAGAGCGTAGATAGTTGTACCCATATACATAAAAAATGACAGCAATGGAATGCCAATCCTCGGGCTTTATTTGTAAAGTCTCTATTCCTTGGTAATCAAAGCCCAAAGATCTATGAATTAGCCCATGCTTGACTAGCCAAGCAGACAAACGACCCTGCATCTTTTTTATCTCTCCCGCATTTTTATTTGTATAAGTATTTCACATTTACGATGAAATTTATGAAAATTGACCCACCACTTCTTATTCTGGACAAAGGAATCCTGTCTAATTCACTAATTCGGCGGAAGATACTGAATTTTTGTATTTGAAAAAGATTTCCGTAGGGATCTCTGAAGTAGATGGTGGTTGATAAAGAACTCTTTGATCATAATTTCCCGTATGAATACTGCGTCGAACATGAAACTTGTGGTTGGTAGTAAAACACCGATTCGCTCGTTGAGACCTAATTCGATCTTCATAGAGTTCTCGAGATATTTTCTTACGAAGTTTTGTTATAGCATCTATAACCGCTTCCGGTTTAGGTGGACAACCTGGCAAATATACATCTACAGGAATTAGCTTATCGACTCCCCGAACAGTACTATAAGAATCGGTACTGAACATCCCGCCTGTAATTGTACAGGCTCCCATAGCAATAACATATTTTGGTTCGGGCATTTGCTCATATAATCTCACTAAAGAGGGGGCCATTTTCATTGTTACTGTTCCGGCTGTTAAAATTAGATCCGATTGTCTAGGACTCGATCTTGGTACGAGTCCATAACGATCAAAGTCGAAGCGTGAGCCTATTAGTGAAGCAAATTCAATGAAGCAACAACTGGTACCATAGAGAAGCGGCCATAAACTAGAGAGTCTTGACCAATTTGAAAGATCATTTAATGTAGTTGAAATAACTGAATTTGGGGCTGTTCGATCAAGTAAAGGAAACTGAATGGAATTCATAACTGTCTCAATCTTATTTTTTCCGTTTTTCTTTTTATTGTCTGAATATTCAGGAGCTAAGACCATTCCAATGCCCCCTTTCGCCATGCATAAACTAAACCAATAATTAAGATAAGCACGAAAATGAAAGCTTCTATAAATACAGATACACCCAATACGTCGAAACTCATTGCCCATGGATAAAGAAAAACCGTTTCAACATCAAAAACAACAAAAACTAGAGCAAACATATAATAACGGATTCGAAATTGTAACCAAGCATCGCCCATTGGTTCTATACCCGACTCATAAGTAGAAAGTTTCTCCGGCCCTTTGCTAATCGGGGCTAACACTCCGGAAATGAAAAATGCCAAAATAGGAACAAGGATTGATATTATTAGAAATGCCCAAAAAAAATCATATTCGTAAAGCAGAAACATAAACGCACTCCTATGAACGTGGAAAATATACCGGATTCAATTGGTCGATTCGAATTGGAATTGTCAAGTCATCCATAACTATTTAGTCAAAACAAGAATTCATTTTGGTCGAACCGCCTAGTTTGCTTTGTTTATTGGTTTATTGTAGGGCATATCTCATTGCAAGATTCATCGACTGGAATCCGATTTTATTTCCATTATACTTATTTCCATTTTATTTAGTTAGTAGAACCTTCTAACTATATACTTCGACAAATTCTCCTGTTTCTCTTGTTTTTTTCTCTAAAGACGGGGAATTCGAAATTAATTACTTATCTTATTTCTTCTTTAATTAGAAATTCTTTAAAGATTTCTATTTATTTCTATAAATAGAATCAGGAGGTCTTTATTTTCATTTTTTTCTTAGTGATTTAGAATAGAACAAGTAATCAAATAGAAGAGAATGTATAGGAATTGCCATCTCAAGATTTAGAAGATCTTGTGTTGGTATATTCCTTTTATTATTATTTAATTATTATTTATTATTTCATTATTATTTAATAATAGTATTAGGATTCGAATCCAGGTGGAGGGGTTTTTCTTGGTTGAATACAGAAAAAGAAGACTACCTTTTTTTGTTGTGCTTCGCTAGGTCGAGGTAAGTAAGGTATACGAAGGAAAAGCCTATTTGACAATGAAAGTGACCAAAGATATTCATTTTTCAAAAAACTTTAGCTTGTACACAAATACAGCAGGCCTTTCCTAAATCCATGTGAATTCCTCTTCGTAGTTTTGCATTTCACCAGGCCCGTGAAATGAGTTGACTTCCAAAATTCAATAAGATTGGGGATATCAAAAGAAAGGGAGTCTCACTAATTCTTTTATTGTGGATATGAATATGTAATTCGCCTCCGAAGATTAATGACGAAAGGTTGGTTTGTTTATCTGCAATTGCAAAAATCAATATCTATTGGATCCATTGATATGCGTTTTTTCTTTCATCTGCTTAAACGATTGCCGTGAGTAAACTTATAGGAATAATTGGATTTCATTTAGTTACAAGCAAGAAATAATAATGAAGAAATGCAAATTATACAATTTTTTTTTGCATTTTTCATTTTTATAGGGCTATACGGACTCGAACCGTAGACCTTCTCGGTAAAACAGATCAAACTTATTATTATTAAAATGATCTGAACTGTTTCAAAGACCCAACATGCATTTTTTTTTTGCATTGGGCTCCTTCATTAACTGATCTAAATATCAGTTAGTCTGCCATTTTTTTTCTTGACAGAAAAAAAGATAAGGAAATGGCTCCATGTGCTCTGATTCATTATTTGGGAGCATTACCAAAGTGTTTCAAAGGTGGGATTATCTTGACGTAGGTCTGTCTCTGGCCTAGATCAACCTAAGTTAAATGAAGTCTCTATCGTTCTGCTTAAAAATCAAATATGAAACTTCATACACCTTAAAGTTCATATGACGAAAAGAGATTTTTTTGAGGTCCTTATACTCATTATGCCTAGCATTGAATAGACTGGGTATTCACCTTATCAAGATCTCAAATCAATGATGGGGTCTGTTTGGCACCTCCTAAATGGGTGTCCAAATTGGACCGAACCTTTGTCAGGCTATGGTTCCCTCAAAGTTATGGAGTAAGACATCGATTTCTCAACAAGATCAATTTTTCTGATTGTATGATGAACTCCCTTGAAAAACATTGGCGCGCGTGTAAACGAGTTGCTCTACCAACTGAGCTATAGCCCTTAGTGCTTGTGATACATATTTTATCATGTAGGTAAATTCTTGTCAAGAGAAATATTCCATGATCCAACATCAAGAATCTTTGATCTCTTTGAGTGGTATTCCTTAGATTAGTATTGCTTATAAGTAATATGATATTTATAATCCATCGACAGGATGGGTTTCATTTGGTTCTCTTTGGGATGATAAATGACCTACTTAACTCAGTGGTTAGAGTACTGCTTTCATACGGCGGGAGTCATTGGTTCAAATCCAATAGTAGGTAAAACTTATTAGATACCAGAGTCAATGGTATCTAATAAGGTTTACAACCCACCTTTAGTGATATTTATTTTTTGATTTTGTATCTTTTCTATTTCATTTTTTAATTTGAATTTTTGCATCAGAATTGGATTCTGTTTGATTGTATTTGATTGTATTCACCCGACAGAATCTAAATAGGATTAGAAAGAGAACTTCTTTTTATTATTCGAACGTACCAACTAGTTATGAAATCGGATTGCTAGCCTCCACCCGTGTTCTAGCTCGTCGGAGAGCTAGATTTGCCTCAATTTTTTGTCTCCTTCCTTCAGCCTTTTTCACATTAGCTTCCGCTATTTCAAGAGTTTGCTGAGCTTCTTGTGGATTAATGTCACTACCCTTCTCCGCATCATTTACTAAAACAGTGATCTCATTATTTCCTATTCTAGCAAAACCACCCATCAGAGCCATCGTTAACCATTGGTCGTTAAGGCGTATTCTCAAAATCCCTATATCTACAGCTGTGGCAATAGGGGCGTGATTTGGTAATATGCCAATTTGACCACTATTAGTAGATAAAACAATTTCTTCCACTTCTGAATCCCAAACAATTCGATTAGGGGTCAGTACACTAAGATTTAAGGTCATTTCTTCAAATTGCTCTCCATTTCTAAGTTCATAGCCTTCGCGGTAGCTTCATCGATAGTACCTACCAAATAAAAGGCCTGTTCAGGAAGACCATCTAATTCTCCGGAAAGGATCAATTGAAATCCTCGAATTGTTTCTGCTAGACCAACATATTTCCCTGGAGAACCGGTAAATACTTCTGCTACGAAAAAGGGTTGTGATAAGAAACGCTCAATTTTTCGCGCTCTTGCTACGAGTAAACGATCCTCTTCGGATAATTCGTCCAATCCAAGGATAGCTATAATGTCCTGAAGTTCTTTGTAACGTTGTAAAGTTTGCTTAACTCTTTGGGCGGTTTCGTAATGTTCCTCACCAACGATCCGAGGTTGAAGCATGGTTGACGTTGAATCTAAAGGATCTACTGCTGGATAAATACCTTTGGCAGCCAATCCTCTTGATAGTACGGTAGTAGCATCTAAATGTGCAAATGTCGTAGCAGGAGCAGGGTCGGTCAAATCGTCTGCGGGTACATAAACTGCTTGAATAGAGGTTATGGACCCGTCTTTGGTAGAAGTAATTCTTTCTTGTAAAGAACCCATTTCGGTACTTAGGGTCGGTTGATAACCCACAGCGGAAGGCATTCTACCCAATAAGGCCGATACTTCGGATCCTGCTTGGACGAAACGGAAGATATTGTCAATAAATAGAAGTACGTCTTGCTCATTAACATCTCGGAAATATTCCGCCATAGTTAGGGCAGTCAAACCAACTCTCATACGAGCTCCCGGCGGTTCATTCATCTGACCGTAAACTAGGGCCACTTTTGATTCTGCAATATTTTCTTTATTAATCACTCCAGATTCTTTCATTTCCATGTAAAGATCATTTCCTTCCCGAGTACGTTCACCCACTCCGCCAAATACGGATACGCCCCCGTGAGCTTTAGCAATATTGTTAATCAATTCCATAATGAGTACTGTTTTACCCACTCCAGCTCCCCCGAATAGTCCGATTTTTCCTCCACGGCGATAGGGGGCTAAAAGATCTACTACTTTAATTCCTGTTTCAAAAATAGATAATTTTGTATCCAACTGTATAAAGGCGGGCGCAGATCTATGAATAGGAGACGTTGTACTAGTATCTACAGGCCCTAAATTATCAACAGGCTCTCCGAGCACGTTAAAAATTCGTCCCAGAGTCGCTCCCCCGACTGGAACACGTATAGGAGCTCCTGTGTCAATCACTGCCATTCCTCTCGTTAGACCGTCTGTAGCACTCATAGCTACAGCCCTAACTCGATTATTTCCTAATAATTGCTGTACCTCACAAGCCACATTAATTGGTTGACCAACACTATCTCGACCTTGAACTACCAGAGCGTTATAAATATTTGGCATCTTGCCCGGGGGAAAGGCTACATCTAGTACCGGACCGATGATTTGGACGACACGCCCCGGGTTTTTTTTTTCAAGCGTGGAAACCCCAGAACCAGAAGTAGTAGGATTGATTCTCATAATAATAAAATAAATATGTCGAAATGTTTTTTCAAAAATTATCGAATTCAAAATAAATGTCCGCTAGCACGTCGATCGGTTAATTCAAAAAAATCGGAATTAGCACTCGATTTCGTTGGCACCATGCAATTGAACCAATCCAATTGTTTACTTATTCAATGAGACTGAGTTAATTTGGAAGCTCACCCAACCTATTTTCATTTAAAAATCTCAAGTGGATGAATCAGAATCTTGAGAAATTCTTTCATTTGTCTATCATTATAGACAAGCCCACCCATATTATCGATTCTATGGAATTCGAACCTGAACTTTATTTTCTATTTCTATTACGATTCATTATTTGTATCTAATGGGCTCCTCTTCTTATTTATTTTTTATTTAAATTTCAGCATATCGATTTATGCCTAGCCTATTCTTTTCTTTGCGTTTTTCTTTCTTTTTTATACCTTTCATAGATTCATAGAGGAATTCCATATATTTTCACATCTAGGATTTACATATACAACATATACCACTGTCAAGGGGGAAGTTCTTATTATTTAGGTTAGCTAGGTATTTCCATTTCAAAAAAAAAAAAGGTAAAAAATCAAAATTGGGTTGCGCTATATATATGAAAGAGTATACAATAATGATGTATTTGGCAAATCAAATACCATGGTCTAATAATCAACCATTCTGATTAATTGATAATATTAGTATTAGTTGGAAATTTTGTGAAAGATTCCTGTGAAAAGTTTCATTAACGCGGAATTCATGTCGAGTAGACCTTGCTGTTGTGAGAATTCTTAATTCATGAGTTGTAGGGAGGGATTTATGTCACCACAAACAGAGACTAAAGCAAGTGTTGGATTCAAAGCTGGTGTTAAAGAGTACAAATTGACTTATTATACTCCTGAGTACCAAACCAAGGATACTGATATATTGGCAGCATTCCGAGTAACTCCTCAACCTGGAGTTCCACCTGAAGAAGCAGGGGCCGCGGTAGCTGCCGAATCTTCTACTGGTACATGGACAACTGTATGGACCGATGGACTTACCAGTCTTGATCGTTACAAAGGGCGATGCTACCGCATCGAGCGTGTTGTTGGAGAAAAAGATCAATATATTGCTTATGTAGCTTACCCTTTAGACCTTTTTGAAGAAGGTTCCGTTACCAATATGCTTACTTCCATTGTAGGTAACGTATTTGGGTTCAAAGCCCTGCGCGCTCTACGTCTGGAAGATCTGCGAATCCCTGTTGCTTATGTTAAAACTTTCCAAGGTCCGCCTCATGGGATCCAAGTTGAAAGAGATAAATTGAACAAGTATGGTCGTCCCCTGTTGGGATGTACTATTAAACCTAAATTGGGGTTATCTGCAAAAAACTACGGTAGAGCTGTTTATGAATGTCTTCGCGGTGGACTTGATTTTACCAAAGATGATGAGAACGTGAACTCACAACCATTTATGCGTTGGAGAGATCGTTTCTTATTTTGTGCCGAAGCACTTTTTAAAGCACAGGCTGAAACAGGTGAAATCAAAGGGCATTACTTGAATGCTACTGCAGGTACATGCGAAGAAATGATGAAAAGAGCTGTATTTGCTAGAGAATTGGGCACTCCGATCGTAATGCATGACTACTTAACGGGGGGATTCACCGCAAATACTACCTTGGCTCATTATTGCCGAGATAATGGTCTACTTCTTCACATCCACCGTGCAATGCATGCGGTTATTGATAGACAGAAGAATCATGGTATGCACTTCCGGGTATTAGCAAAAGCGTTACGTATGTCTGGTGGAGATCATATTCACTCTGGTACCGTAGTAGGTAAACTTGAAGGTGAAAGAGACATAACTTTGGGCTTTGTTGATTTACTGCGTGATGATTTTATTGAACAAGATAGAAGTCGCGGTATTTATTTCACTCAAGATTGGGTCTCTTTACCAGGTGTTCTACCTGTGGCTTCAGGAGGTATTCACGTTTGGCATATGCCTGCTCTGACCGAGATCTTTGGGGATGATTCCGTACTACAGTTCGGTGGAGGAACTTTAGGACATCCTTGGGGTAATGCGCCAGGTGCCGTAGCTAATCGAGTAGCTCTAGAAGCATGTGTAAAAGCTCGTAATGAAGGACGTGATCTTGCTCGGGAAGGTAATGAGATTATTCGCGAGGCTGCCAAATGGAGCCCGGAACTAGCTGCTGCTTGTGAGGTATGGAAAGAGATCGTATTTAATTTTGCAGCAATGGACGTTTTGGATAAGTAAAAACAGTAGACATTAGCAGATAAATTAGCAGGAAATAAAGAAGGATAAGGAGAAAGAACTCAAGTAATTATCCTTCGTTCTCTTAATTGAATTACATTACAATTAAACTCGGCCCAATCTTTTACTAAAAGGATTGAGCCGAATACAACTAAGATTCTATTGCATATATTTTGATCAAGATTTGAAATACAAAATCTAGAAAACTAAATCAAAATCTAAGACTCAAATCTTTCTATTGTTGTCTTGGATCCACAATTAATCCTACGGATCCTTAGGATTGGTATATTCTTTTCTATCCTGTAGTTTGTAGTTTCCCTGAATCAAGCCAAGTATTACAACTCTTTCTACCCAGCCTGTATATTGTCCCCTTTGTTCCGTGTTGAAATAGAACCTTAATTTATTACTTATTATTAGATTTTAGATTGTTAGATTAGTTAGTGATTAGATATTAGTATTAGACGAGATTTTACGAATTTTTTTTTATTTCTTTATAGGAGAGGACAAATCTCTTTTTTTCGATGCGAATTTGACACGACATAGGAGAAGCCGCCCTTTATCAAAAATTCTATTATTTTTAATAATAAAAGGGGGTTCCAACATATTAATATATAGTGAAGTGTTCCCCCAGATTCAGAACTTTTTTTGAATACTCACAATCCGTATTAGTTAATAATCCTAGTGATTGGATTTCTATGCTTAGTCTGATAGGAAATAAGATATTCAAATAAATAATTTTATAGCGAATGACTATTCATCTATTGTATTTTCATGCAAATAGGGGGCAAGAAAACTCTATGGAAAGATGGTGGTTTAATTCGATGTTGTTTAAGAAGGAGTTCGAACGCAGGTGTGGGCTAAATAAATCAATGGGCAGTCTTGGTCCTATTGAAAATACCAGTGAAGATCCAAATCGAAAAATGAAAAACATTCATAGTTGCAGTAATGTTGATTATTTATTCGGCGTTAAAGACATTTGGAATTTCATCTCTGATGACACTTTTTTAGTTAGTGATAGGAATGGAGACAGTTATTCCATCTATTTTGATATTGAAAATCAGATTTTTGAGGTTGACAACGATCATTCTTTTCTGAGTGAACTAGAAAGTTCTTTTTCTAGTTATCGAAACTCGAGTTATCTGAATAATGGATTTAGGGGCGAAGATCCCTACTATAATTCTTACATGTCTTACATGTATGATACTCAATATAGTTGGAATAATCACATTAATAGTTGCATTGATAATTATCTTCAGTCTCAAATCTGTATAGATACTTCCATTATAAGTGGTAGTGAGAGTTACGGTGACAGTTACATTTATAGGGCCATTTGTAGTGGTGAAAGTCTAAATAGTAGTGAAAACGAGGGTTCCAGTAGACGAACTCGCACAAAGGGCAGTGATTTAACTATAAGAGAAAGTTCTAATGATCTCGAGGTAACTCAAAAATACAAGCATTTGTGGGTTCAATGCGAAAATTGTTATGGATTAAATTATAAGAAATTTTTGAAATCAAAAATGAATATTTGTGAACAATGTGGATATCATTTGAAAATGAGTAGTTCGGATAGAATTGAACTTTTGATCGATCCGGGTACTTGGGATCCTATGGATGAAGACATGGTCTCGCTGGATCCCATTGAATTTCATTCGGAGGAGGAGCCTTATAAAGATCGTATTGATTCTTATCAAAGAAAGACAGGATTAACCGAGGCTGTTCAAACAGGCATAGGCCAACTAAACGGCATTCCCGTAGCAATTGGGGTTATGGATTTTCAGTTTATGGGGGGTAGTATGGGATCCGTAGTCGGAGAGAAAATCACCCGTTTGATTGAACACGCTGCCAATCAAAATTTACCTCTTATTATAGTGTGTGCTTCTGGGGGGGCGCGCATGCAGGAAGGAAGTTTGAGCTTGATGCAAATGGCTAAAATATCGTCTGCTTTATATGATTATCAATTAAATAAAAAATTATTTTATGTATCAATCCTTACATCTCCGACAACTGGTGGAGTGACAGCTAGTTTTGGTATGTTGGGGGATATCATTATTGCCGAACCCAATGCCTACATTGCATTTGCAGGTAAAAGAGTAATTGAACAAACATTGAATAAAACAGTACCCGAAGGTTCACAAGCAGCTGAATACTTATTCCAGAAGGGTTTATTCGACCTAATTGTACCACGTAATCTTTTAAAAAGCGTTCTGAGTGAGTTATTTAAGCTCCACGCCTTTTTTCCTTTGAATCAAAAGTCAAGCAAAATCAAGTAGAGCACTAAGTTCAATTATTTTTTTTGTGTTTGTAGCAAAAAGTAGTTAGTTTATCGGAATCAAAGTAAATAAGATAATAATGGCCTTTTCTTTGGTGATAGAAGATCGAATTGTAGAAAGAATCAAAACGAAAGTTGAGGATAACTCTTTTTTTGACCTATATTCCTGATTACGAATCAAGAAACCTTTATCACTTTATCACCAAGAGTGAGTTCTTCCGTTCGTGAAATTAGTAAAATAAAACGAATTTGGTCTTGTCTTAGGTATATAATTTGAAATTTCAATATAGATAATAGAGTTTTGTATCTTTCTCTATCTACCGAAAAACCATTTTAGCTAAAAATCCATGTTGGGTCGGATTCGAACGAATCCTTCGATAATCGGTAAAAAACTCTTTATCTATTTTTAGAAAATTAGAAGACAAGAACAAAAGACAAAGAAATGAAGAAAAATAATAAAGTTTATTATCATTATCATACATATCTTTCTCATGGAGGAGATGAATAAGTCCATTTATTTAGTTCTACAGTTCTACATTCTTTGCACTTATTCTTATTATACGTACTCAGTTAGATTTAGATATATCGATACTTCGATCTATACTAAGAATTTTAAATTCTTCAAATTCTATTAATAATAAATATTATCTAATTAGAATTCAAATTCTTAATTTAATTATAATTATTACAAGATATCTTTATTTATATAATAACATAATAACAGATACAAATAGTAAATCGAGGTACCCCTTCTATGACAAATTTGAACCTTCCATCTATTTTTGTGCCGTTAGTAGGCCTAGTCTTTCCGGCAATTGCAATGGCTTCTTTATTTCTTCATGTTCAAAAAAACAAGATTGTTTAGATCCGCTGGGACCCAATCTCATCCATTTTTTTTTTGAAAACGTGGACTTGTATCATAACACGGATATCTATTTATTGGAATATAGTATAACATGTGATTTCCACCGAACATAAAGGAAAAAACTCTTATGCCCGCAGAAACATGATATATGGATATATCAATTCTAGCAATTTTCAAATAGATCAGGATCTCTGGATGGCTGAAATGTAGTCGGTGAATCTATATGTATATCGATATGTATAGTGGGATCGTATTAAATAAAGAGTATGTTATTATTTTAGATTTAACCAATTTGATGAATTACTCCTAAAGGTTGACATCAAACTAGTGCTAGTTCACCTCAAACTAGTGCTAGTTGATGAGAGTTACTTCGGAAACAAAAAAGTAAAGTCAAATTTCTCTGGGGTATTATCTCAATTCCAATAAAATGCAATCGAGTAAAGTATGACTTGGCGATCAGACGATATATGGATAGAACTTATAACGGGGTCTCGAAAAATAAGTAATTTCTGCTGGGCCTTGATCCTTTTTTTAGGTTCATTAGGCTTCTTATTAGTTGGAACTTCCAGTTATCTTGGTAGAAATTTGCTATCTTTTTTTCCGCCTCAGCAAATCATTTTTTTTCCACAAGGAATCGTGATGTCTTTCTACGGAATTGCGGGTCTCTTTATTAGCTCTTATTTGTGGTGCACAATTTCCTGGAATGTAGGTAGTGGTTATGATCGATTCGATAGAAAGGAAGGAATAGTCTGTATTTTTCGTTGGGGATTTCCGGGAAAAAATCGTCGCATATTCCTCCGATTCCTTATAAAAGATATTCAGTCCGTTAGAATAGAAGTTAAAGAGGGTATTTATGCTCGTCGTGTTCTTTATATGGACATCCGAGGCCAGGGGTCCATTCCCTTGACCCGTACTGATGAGAATTTGACTCCACGAGAAATTGAACAAAAGGCTGCTGAATTAGCCTATTTCTTGCGTGTACCAATTGAAGTATTTTGATAAATTGAGAATCAGAACGTTCATTCAATTAAAGAAAACGTATATGAAAGAACCATAAAACGAAACTCTTTTTATGGTCTTTATGCGTTTTATGGTCTTTATGCGCACGCAATTCAATAACAAATAACAAATCGAAATAATAGATTCATCTCAGACGGCAAACCATTTCGAAAGCAAGAATTTTTTTTAGTTCAATATTTGTTGGAATTGACACTTTAGATCCAGATAGATCGTATCTTGTAAATTTGAAATTCTTTCTTTTGTATTCTTTAATGACCAACAATTGGATTTCTTAATTAAATA